TCTCACAGGTGGTAAAGATGATTGTAAGTGGCGACCCAAAGGAGGAAGGGAGGGACTTAGAAAGGAAGATGGGCTGAGACTCTGTTCACCAGGGAGTGTGGGAGGAGGGACAGTGACTTCTGCCAAGGGTACAGGATTTGGGAGAACAGGAATAGGAGAGGTTCCTTTGGAGGCAGGAGGGGCCACAAAAGATTTCAAGATCTTGGTCCACAGGGCTGGGCAGGACGAGGACGTGCTCACCAGGGTTCTTAGCAGCTTTATCCATCACAGCCCAAACCACTCACTGATAGAAGAACAGGTGAACAGGTATGGTAGGTAAGCACTGTGGATGCCAGGCAGCCATAGACAGAGCTGACACACAGCCCAACAGCATGCTTGTCACTAGAATCCAGAAGGCACAGTGGAGCAGATGGTGGATCTGTACCTGAGGCTAGAGCAGCAGTGATAGGCAGCTGGCCACTCTGCTTCCAGAAGGGGGAACTCTGTGGCCTGGGAGGGGATTGATGCCACTTGTGGGCACAGTGGAAATGCTCCACGGTCTGACTAGGTGGCCGTGGACTCAAAGGCAGAGGCGGCCCTGGAACTGGTCATTGACTATCTGGACATGGACTATCTGGGCATCTCACAATATGCAAGTGGGTCAGCAACGTCTTTTTAAAATTTGTTTTTATTTTATGCATATCAGTATTTTTTTTGCATCTTACCTGCATGTATGTAAGTGTACCTGCGTTGTACAATGCCAATGGAAGAGGGCATCAGATCCCTTGGAACTGGAGTCATGGGTGGTTGTTAGCTGCCGTGTAGGTGTTGGGAACTGAACCTGGCTCCTCTGCAAAAGCAGTCAGTGCTTTTTTTAAAGGTTTATGTTTATTCATGTGCAAGGGTGTAGGCAGAAGAGGGCATCAGATCTCCTGGAGCTGAAGTAACACGTGGTTATGAGCTGCTCAAAGTGAATGTTGGGAGATATGGGTGCTAGGAACTGAACCTGGTCATTTGCCAGAGCAACAAGTGCTCTTTACTGAGTCATCCATCCAGTCCCCTAAAATAATGCATTAAATACAATCTGCTTATGTTGGAAGGTTCACAGAAATGTTTTTATTTTTATTTATTTACTTATTTTTGAAAAAGTGTCTCCCTATAGCCCCAACTGGCCTGGAACTCACTATGTAGACCAGACTGGCCTCAATCTCACAGAGATCCACCTGCCTCTGGGATTAAAAGTGTGTACCACCACCCAGCCAGGGCTCTTAACTGCTGAGCCACCTTTCCAGCCCCAGCAACATCTTTTTTTGACACAGTGTCTCACTGTATAGGCCAGTCAGGCCTCCCAGGTATTGGGATTACAGATGCATACCACCATGGCTCCTGTCTTCAGAGATCCAGTTCCTTGCAAGAGGGAACATTGGTTAACATTAGTTAACTGTTCAACTGAACAGGAAATCTGTCCTGATGTCATAGCTCAAAGGGGCAGCCAGGGACTGTTAAAGAATGCTAACATCCCCCACCATGGCACTGTCCTCAGATGTTTCCTTCAATAGTAATTTCCATGTCACGGATCAAACCTAGGGTCTTAGCCATAGCCCTGCCCTCCAACAGAAACAGTGACCCTAACAGTGTTTACCTACAGGGCTATTCTGGGAGCCTAGCTCTTGATGGAAATGGAACTCCATCGGAAACAATTTGAATAATTGAAAAAAAACTCCAGGTCTGGTGACTCAGGCCTATAAACCTCAGATACTTAGGAGATAGAGGTGGGGAGATTATAAGATTGTGGGCAACTTATGAGACTCTGTCTCAAAATAAAAAGTAAAAAAGAGAGCTAAGGATATAGTACAATGAGACAACTTGCCTAGCATGGATGAGACCCTGGGTTCAGTCCCTAGAACACATACACACACACACACACACACACACACACACACACACAATGGAATGCATGTGTTTTTTGTTAATCCTTGAACCCCTTACTTCACTCTGGGACTTGGAAATGTGGACCTTAACTTTGTGAGCATTGCTCCAGAGCCTTTCCTCATCCCTCCATCTCCTGCCTCCCCTTTGGGAGTCTGGGCTCTGCAGGTATGGAAGGATGTGCCCTCTCCATCCTGTGGGCCTGAAGCAACCCTAAGCAACATTCATGGGCTGTGGCTGACCCACTTGTGTGTGTGCATGCATGCGTGCATGCGTGTGTGCGTGTGTGTGTGTGTGTGTGTGTGTGTGTGTACATGCATATGGAGGCCAGAGGATAGCTCCAGTGTTGTTTCTTAGGCACTGTCCATTCTGGCTTTATTTTGAGTCTTTTATTGGCCTGGAATTTACTGATTAGACTAGGCTGACTGGCCATTGAGTCACATGGAATCATCAGTCTCTGCCTCCCCAGCCCTGGGATTAAATGCATGCCACCGCACTATACCCACTGAGCTGTCTCCCCTGCCCTGACCCATTTAGTCTTCAACCTAATGCTCAGTGTACTTGGGTGGACTCTTTGACTTCTTCTTGGGGGTGGGGGTGTGTTCACAGAATACACAGAAATAAGGCAGGCAGACCACTACATCCTTTCAAAGCCAAGTTCAGCCTGTGCCTAAGGAGCTCCAAGGGTCATCTGACACTCCAGGAAATGTCATTTTGTGTGCCTTACTATTTGCTATCAATCAGGGCCCAGACTCTGTTAAAGACCACTATGAACTGGAAGAAAAACTGATAAGTTGCAATTATTTTGCTTCATAGTGATCTAAATGATGATTTTCCAATAGAGGAGATGGCTCCAACTTTATGATTTTATTATCTGATAGAACACTAAAATTATTTTTTAAAATTATGTTACATTTAGTTATTTTCTGTGTGTGCATGTGTGTACGCACATACCACAGTGTGCAACGTTGAAGTCAGAGGACAACTTTCAAGAGTCAGTTTTTCCTCCCATCATGTGGGTCTCAGGGATTGAACTCAGGTTATCAACCTTGGCTGCAGACACCTTTACCTGCTGAGCCATCTTGCCATCCCTGTACAAGAGAATTTTAATCAGTTTTGCATTTAACATAGCAATCTTATGAATTGTTAATTTTTTTCTTTTACGGAACCCCTCTCTTCCCCTTTACCATTCATAGATAGATCTCTGGTCCTTGTTTTTTGAGACAAGGCTATCATGTACTGTACAACTAAACATGGCCTTGAATTCCTGATCCTCTTGCCTCTACCTCCCAAGTGCTGAAATTATAGGCGTGCAACACCACACCTGGTGTAACAATGGTATATTTTTTAAAAACAACTACAAATACATAGGTGTCTTTAAAAAAATAGTGCTGGGGGGCTGGAGAGATGGCTCAGTGTTTAAGAGCACTGACTGCTCTTGCAGAGGACTTGGATTCGATTCCCAGCACCTACATCGTGGCTAACAACTGTCCATAACTCCAGTTCCAGGGGATACAATGCCCTTTTCTGACCTCTGCAGGCATTGCATGACATGGGTGCACTTACACACATGCAGGAACTACACTCATACACATAAAGTAATAAAAAAATTTGTTTTTTAAAATTTTATTATTTTTATTTTATGTGTATGTGTGTATTGCCTGCATGTAGGTAAGTGCACCTGTGTTGTGCAATGT